TCGAAGCCATACTCCATTGTGGTGAAGCTTCGTGGTGTTGTTGGGAGCCTCTAAGTGTTGTGGAGATATCCCCAATCTTGTTTGTAAAGGTCCGGTTGCCGCCTTCAAGGGATCCAATTGTGGAATCACGGCATCTCGCATTGTGTGAGGGCGTGAGGAGATTACGGTGGCCCTAGTGGCTTCTTGGGGAGCATTGTGCCTCCACACCACTCTAACGGAGACGTACTTCCCCTTAAAAGGAAGGAACTTCGGTAACACATCCTCGTCTCCACCGGCTCCACTCTTGGTTATCTTGTCCCTTTACTTTTGCAAGCTTACTTGAGTTATATCCATTGCTTGCTTGTGTGCTTATTGTCTTTGCATCATATAGGTTGTCCACGTAGTTGCACATCTAGACAACCTATTTCATTGCAAGTTTTAATTTGTTAAAGACAAGTCTAAAAATTGTTAGTTGCCTATTCACCCCCCCTCTAGTCAACCATATCGATCCTTTCAGACGACATCTTCGCCGACCCCTCCGGCGTGCCACCACCTCGCAGCCGCGACCACGGCATCACCCTGCTGCCCGGTTCCGCCCCGGTGGCCGTCCGTCCGTATCGCTACCCGGCCGCACACAAGGACGAGCTGGAGTGTCAGTGCGCCGCCATGCTCGCCCAGGGCATCATCCGAGCGAGTTGTTCCGCCTTCTCATCGCCGGTACTGCTGGTCCGCAAGGCCGACGGGTCCTGGCGCTTCTGCATCGACTACCGCGCCCTGAACGCTATTACCGTCAAGGATGCGTTTCCGATCCCGGTGGTGGACGAACTCCTCGACGAGCTCCGGCACACTCGTTTCTTCACCAAGCTCGACTTGCGCTCCGGCTACCACCAGGTGCGGATGCGTGCGGAGGACATCCCCAAGACCGCCTTTCGTACCCACGACGGCCTCTACGAGTTCCTGGTGATGCCGTTCGGCCTCTGCAATGCGTCGGCGACGTTCCAGGCTCTCATGAACGATCTGCTGCGGCCGTACCTGCGCCACTTTGTTCTCGTCTTCTTTGACGACATCCTCATTTTCAGCGAGACGTGGGCCGACCATCTCCGACATGTGCGCACCGTCTTCACCGTCCTGCACCAGCACCGGCTCTTCGTCAAGCGATCCAAATGCGTGTTCGCCGTTGAGTCGATCTCCTACCTAGGTCACACCATCTCCGCAGCAGGAGTGGCCATGGATCCGGAAAAGGTGCAGGTAGTGGCCGAATGGCCGCAGCCACGCTCGGCGCGCGCGGTCCGGGGGTTCCTCAGCCTTGCGGGGTACTACCGCAAGTTTGTCAAGGAGTTTGGTGTGGTTGCCGCACCACTGATGGCCCTCCTTCGCAAGGATGGTTTCTCCTGGTCGCCGGAGGCGGCAACAGCTTTTACCGCCCTCAAGACGGCGGTCACCACGGCTCCCGTCCTCGCGTTGCCGGATTTCACGAGGCCGTTCATCGTCAAGTGTGACGCCTCTACGTACGGCTTCGGGGCCGTCCTTCTTCAGGACCAGCACCCGGTGGCTTTCTTTAGCCGGCCGGCCGCGCCACGTCACCGTTCCCTGGCAGCATATGAACGGGAACTCATTGGCCTGGTGCTCGCTATTCGTCATTGGAGACCATACCTCTGGGGGCGCCAATTTGTGGTAAAAACGGATCACTACAGTCTCAAATTCTTACTTGACCAGCGTTTGGCAACCATTCCGCAGCATCATTGGTTCGGCAAACTACTGGGGTTCGACTTCACCGTGGAGTACAAGGCCGGTAGTACCAACACGGTGGCGGACGCCCTTTCCCGCCGCGACACGGAGGAGCCGTCGATCATGGCGATCTCGAGTCCTCGCTTCGACTTCATCGATCGTCTCTGGCAAGCTACGTCCACTGACCCAGCGCTCATCGCGCTGCGTGAGGATATCACGGCGGGTACGCGGCAGCAGCCGTGGTCGCTCTCCGACGGCCTCGTCACTTTCAACGGCCGCCTCTACATTCCGCCGTCGTCCCCGCTACTCCAGGAGCTCCTCACCGTAGTGCACGACGACGGGCACGAAGGCGTCCTGCGCACCTTGCATCGTCTCCGCCGCGACTTCCACGCACCTAACCTTCGCAAGACGGTGCAAGAGTACGTCCGCGCCTGCGGTACTTGCCAGAGGTACAAGTCCGAGCACTTGCACCCCGCTGGGCTGCTGCTGCCGCTGCCGGTGCCCACGGGCGTGTGGACTGACGTCGGCATCGACTTCGTGGAAGCGCTCCCTCGCGTGGGCGAGAAGTCCGTCATCCTCACCGTGGTGGATCGCTTCAGCAAGTACTGTCACTTCGTGGCGTTGAGCCACCCGTACACGTCCGAGTCGGTGGCACAGGTGTTCTTCGCCGAGATCGTGCGCCTCCATGGTGTTCCGCAGTCCATGGTTTCGGACCGCGACCCCGTCTTCACCTCGGCGTTTTGGCGGGAACTCATGCGCCTCATCGGGACGAAGTTGCACATGACGTCGGCATTTCATCCTCAGTCGTATGGCCAAACGGAGGCTGCTAACAAGATCATTGTCATGTACCTGCGTTGCCTCACAGGGGATCGTCCGCGCCAGTGGATACGGTGGCTTCCCTGGGCCGAGTACATCTACAACACCGCCTACCAGGCGGCGACCCAAGAAACTCCGTTCAAGCTTGTGTATGGCCGTGATCCTCCTACTATTCGTTCTTACGAGCCAGGCGAAACGAGGGTGGCGGCCGTGGCAAAAAGCATGGCGGAGCGAGACGAGCTACTCGCTGATGTCCGCTATCGACTACAGCAGGCGCAGGCGGTCTACAAATCCTACTATGACAGACGCCATCGCGACGTCAGGCATGTAGTGGGCGATTGGGTGTGGCTTCGTCTTCGCCAGCGCGCTGCCTCTTCTCTCAACTTGCCAACCAGGGGCAATCTCAAGCCACGCTTCTACGGGCCATACCGCATTTCCGAGGTCATCAACGACGTCGCCTACCGCCTTGAGCTGCCGGTGTGCTCGCGCCTCCATGATGTGTTCCACGTGGGCCTCCTCAAGAAATTCTTCGGCACGCCTCCAACTGCACCGCCGTGTTTACCTCCAATCCACAACGGTGCGGCTGTCCCGGAACCAGAAAGCGTGACTCGTTCACGCCTCGCACGCGGCGTGCGCCAGCTCCTTGTCCACTGGAAGGGCGAGGCTGCGTCATCGGCAACATGGGAAGATCTTGACAGTTTCGTCGAGCGCTACCCCGCTTTTCAGCTCGAGGACGAGCTGCTCATCGAGGGGGGGAGAGATGTCATGTGGGGCGCTGCGTACAGGCGCGGGTCGCGCGCCCAGGAGCAGCAGCGGACGGCCACGGCTGGAAGGAGTCCTGATCCTGCGTTGGTTCCTAGAGTCCAGGAATAGTTAGTTTCCTAGTTTATTAGAACCATAGTTAGTTTCCTAGTTTGATAGAAGCCCATAAGGCCTTTATATATCCTGTGATCGGCACCTTTGGACGTAAGGAATAAAATCATTATCCCCTACCTCTTCCTCTACTCCTAATCCCCTTCTCCTGCGCCATTGAGCAGCTGGGCAAAAACCCTAGCGCTCCTATCAACCGAGACTACGAACTACGTAGTCGAGGTCCTGCTGTCTTGGGCACCGAGGCCCTTGACATCTACAATGTTAACCCTCCAAATCTGTTGGCAAAATTCTGAGCTGAAAATGAGGCGGGCTGACAAAGTTTGAGGGCCTCATGATTTCTGGCGACTGTTTCAAAAAAAAATCTGGGGCTGGAGGGCCTGTAAACTACGTGTCTAGTACATGTGAGTGCTTCAGGCGAGAGAATATAGCCACATCATCAACCACCTTGTAAATTTTATCTGCTCCAATGCGAGCCCTCTCATCGTTGGTGCTTAGATAATTTATCACATGCATTCATACTCTTAAGATGTGCTTATGTACAACAGTACATGTTAAATATAACCACTTCTTTGAGCATTGGTGCCCAATCAAGCACTCGAGCTTCAGAATAATAAGCACCAATGTACTACTCTATAAGGTAAGAGTGAACTGACGAGTGCGGCGTTTTGATGCCCGGGCTCATCTGCACCCGCCCAAAAAAAAATTCAAAAAATTCCTTTTTTTTGCATGGTAGACAATTTATCACGTGAGGTCCGCTTCAAATTTTAGATCATTTGGACTTCTGGGCAGCTCTCAGCAAAAAAGACAAATCGAGTCAAAATAGTGCATGAACAATATATATTTTTATAGACCCTGAATTTGTCTTTTTTGCCCAGAGCTGCTCAGATGTCCAAATCATTTGAAAATTGGAGCAGACCCCACGCATCAAATTATCTACCACACAAAAAAAATGGATTTTTTTTTGAATTTTTCTGAATTTTTCTAGTATTTATTTTGATTTTTTCCGTCAGGGTGGGTGCAGCTAAGCCTGGGCTCAAAAGTGATTCATTTCTCTGAGCATTTCTCAAAGCAAAAGATACTTCGAAAGTTACTTGGCAACAAATTGTCACTCCTATAAGATACTCCATAAACAAATATAAGACGTTTTAGATCACTAGTGACCTAAAACGTCTTATATTTGTTTACAGAGGGAGTAAGTGAAAAGGAAAATACTAATGCCGGGACTATAACCATATCTATTTTCCCTTTTAAGGGAAGAAGTTCAGGGAGTAAACAACACAGCGGTAAGCATTTCCTGACATCCCACCACACTCAATGCTATGAGTAAAATGGCAAGGCATTCATGAACACAGATGCTTTCATTTCATAGGATGGGAACAGTGTTTCAGGAGCAAATGTGCGAGATAGGGCATCTATGCCTCCTGCAACCTACAACAGACAATCAACAAATATAAATCATGTCTATTGTAGGATGAAACGCTAAGCCCCCACCAGATGGTAGTACTGTGCTAAACTTTGTAAACTAGATGAGATTTTACAAGTTACAACTACACACATCAGCCACGACCGCACATAGACGCGGACTCTTGTCCCCCTGAGAAAGCTCACCACACCGAGTACCTTACACCAAGGCCATTGCATGTAAGTATTAAACCCTTGTGTCGGTTCAGGTAATCCTGAAAGTAAAAACAAAAATGTCACAAGAAGAAGTTTTGCGTGTGGTGGTGATGGTGAGGGGTGGGTGGGGTGGGGTGGGGGGTACTCACCGCTGCATTCTGATCCTGAACGTATAAAACACCTTTCTTGTCATACTCCTGCCGTTTTACTGGATTGCTAAGAACTGACAAAAACAAGAGATGTCATGAATGAAAGCACCTGATGTATCATCCTTGTTTATCTCGGTTTCTAGATAGAAGGCTAAAGCAGATGCACCGCGAAAGAACATTCTTTAGCGAAAAAATGGTTATATAAGAAACGTGTTTTGACAGTCAGTGCAAAACTGCAAATAATTACACTACCCGGTGATCAACAAATGATGGCCAGCTTTGGCTACTAATGCATGCGACCAACCTCCAAGGTGTGCAACAAGTCTGGCTCAAATGTCATGACCAATAAATCATGTTTCCGCTAGTTTCTTAGTATGATCTAAGTGCATAGTTTGATGGCCTGTTTGCATGAGGCAATGACTGACTTGCCCTAAATGGACACAGATGAGTTCCAAGAGGTTGGCTAACTGGGGATATCTTTCACTGATTTAACACAGGATGATGTGCCCCCAAGCAAGTGCAAACTACACAGAACTATTTAGTCCCAAAACAAATTTATCGCAATTTGAAATCACGCTTGACATCTTCTAACTCACGAAAGGCACCAGAATTATTCTTAGTCTTATGGCACCGCAAAATCCATAGTTGTTCAGCAGCGTCTAAATTATACAGGGACCAGATGAACTGCCCATGTAGTCTAATGCAGTGTTTAGGATTACTCGTAGATGAACCATTGCGCATTAGTACACCATCACACTTGCTATGTTCCTAATAAATTTGGATATTAGAAGCAAGCAGAAAAGAAGGGGGCAAACTGCAAGTGATTAGATGATATGCTGCTTGCACATGATGACAAAATGATTAAAAATATCATGTAGACTCTCAGAGTTGAACATGAGGATACTGAATAACTTATCAACTACCAAAGCGCACCTTGGTAGGCCTCATTAATGTCCTGAAATCTGGATGTTGCCTTTTCTTCACCTTGTTTCTTGTCAGGGTGCCATTTCTACAGGAGAAGATAGTAGATTGGTCACTATGGTGAAGGCGTCAACCGCAAAATACAAAAGTAAAAATTCTATAATAGAAACCTAGAAGCAGTTGCATGATGAGCAAAAGAATTAAAGCAGTGCTTCTAGGTTAAAGTTTCCTTAGGCTGCGTTCGGTTCACAGGGAATTGAAGAGGTTTGACAGGGATTGAGGGGGGGTTAGATCTCCTACAAGTCAAATCCCCCTCAAATCCCCTCCAATCCCTGTGGGAAGAGGTGTAACCGAACAAAGCCTTATTGAGATTGTAACTACTGACATCAATACAGTTTCGGGTATGCGATTTCCGTCACAGGATTTCAGACCGCACGCTTTAAGAAGGGGAAAACATGTAGATTAGTGTAATGGGGCGAACACTGACCAGCGCCAGACGGATGTAGCTCGACCTGATTGTCTCCTCCGACGCATCATAATCGACTTCCAGTATCTTGTAGTAATCCTGCACGCGAAAATTTCGCCGTCAGCAACTTTATCCAACAGACAAAGAATAGGGACTCGATTGCCAGCAACAGCATTCCATGTACACGATCCGCCCCCTAATAAAACGCATAATCCAACAACCCCAAAGCGGCGGGGGTTCGCCCGGCCTGCCCTAGGGAAAAGCAAGCCGGCGGATGAATCGAAGGGGCAGTGGCGATTCCTCACCTTGGGCTCGAAGAAGGAGAAGAAGTCGAAATCGACGGGGACCTCCTCGCCCGTCCGCGCCGCCTCGTCGCCGTCCTCCCACTCCCACAACATTCCCTCGCCTGGCCTCTCCCCTCGCCGCCCTCGCGGGTGTGGATTCCCTTCGCCGCGGCGGCTCGCGGGTGTGGATTCCCTGGTCCCTTCCTTCCTTCCTTCCTTCCGGGGATGGCCGTGGCGGTCTGGCAGTCGTTGGATTTCGTGGGGTCGCCGGCTCGCCGCAGCCAGGGAAGGTTCTAGATTTTTTGTTTTCTTTTCGTCGTCTCCTTGCGATTTTCGTTGGGAGAGACTGGAGCAGAATTTGACACGCCCGACGTGGCTCGCCAGAAGTTAGCTGGGCCTTGGCGGGCCTAGCACGGCATACAAGTCATCACCCATGTGGATTGAGCCCATATCCGAGGCAGCATGGTGTGTCATATTTTTTGGACGCCGATAACTGCCACACGTGTGATGTATCGGGTGGTTGTACCGCACGTCTCGTGCGGCCTGGAGAAGAACCCGCCCGCACGACCGCGTCCGAACGCGCGCAGCCACAGCCCGCATGTCCGGTGTGTGGCAAAACCGCCAACACGTCCGGGCCAGACGCCCGCGCTGCCCGCACAACCCAGTCGTCCTGACCTCCTTTCGATCCCCAGTCCAAACTGCCGCCATTGTCTCCCACCTCTTGATCCCGTACCTCCATCGCCGTCCTTCTCTGGTTACCATGGCAACTAATGCAGATCCGTAGGGCCTTCCCACCGCTAACCACACCCCCTTCCCCCACTCCAACCCCGCCCTCCAGGGACGACCAGCTAAAAGTAGGTGAGTCTCCGATCTCCTACTGTTTCTCATCCTTCTTCTGGCCAGAATTTAGAAAATGCAAATTTACCAACGAAGACGGCGACTGGATCTCCTCGAACAACATACACCAGATCTATCGGGGCAAAACACTACATGTTTTTGTGTGTGTTCGCATTTGCCAAGCAGATACACCAGATCTGTCATGTACTACGCTAGAGTTAAGCTTAGGCTCTCGGTTCGTTTGGTGCAAGTAGTTGGTAATGAAGGATGCGTAGGAATCCCTAAAAAAGGGAGAGAAAGAAGAAATTTGGCATAAGGGGGGTAGGAAAAATAGTTGCCACTTGTGTCTAACATCAGTTGCCATCTATCATTGTCGTTAGCTGCCACCATGTTAACCTGTTGCTTGCCATCCTATTATAGTGGTTGTTGCCATCGATTCGAAAAGATAGCTGGCACCCAGATTTCAGAAAAGAGAGTGGATGTGCATGTCCTATTTGCCATGATGTGTTGGTTGCCTACGCAGGAAAATGTGATAAGATTGCCATGTTATCTTCTACATGCAAACAACAGAAAATGCATTTTTTGCGGATTGTTGATGCGTTCTTGTTCATGCAGTGATTGAGAACACATTGGCAGAAACAAAACGCAAAAAATAATGAATCACGAATATGGCACTGATCCTTGGGTTTCTCAAAGGCCAGAAACGCCCCATTGGGATGCAGCAGAGTACAGTCAACTCATTTCTGCAGGGCCGTTGCTGTCACTACTAGAGCAGTACGCAGGCATTGATATGATGCATGATAACAAGAAAAGAACATTTTGCCATGTTCGCGACGATGAAAATGACATTCTACTTATGTCCTACAATCTCATTTTTCGCAGGTTCTTATGACCAAAACACATTTAGGGGGGCACCATGGCAAGTTCAGTCACAGGGCGCTAACACTGAAAAATGTTCGGGCAACCAACTTCAACTAGCTAATGTGGCAAATCAAGGTAACGCATACGAAAAAGAAACATACTGGTTGTGGACATGAAAATTAAACTTGTAAAGGATGGCAAAAATACTCACGAGTTATATCGAGAAAAATATAGGACCTTCATGCAGCACGTGGCATCAGGTGGCAAGCATGTACCTGCCATCGACGTCATACACAGGTGAGTCCATAAAAAGTGAAGTTGCGGACATTGAATTAGCAGAAGGAACATAGCTGACAACTGCAGTTACCATCCCTGGACAATTGCAGTTGCCATCCCTGGACAAACTGCAGTTGCCATGTATGATCAAATGTGATTGCAATGTATAAACAACAGTGGATGGCAAGTGTGAACAAATCTGTGTGGCATGGTTGGACAACTACACGTGCCATGTTGAAGAAACTACATTTGCCATGCAGTGACCAACTACTACCATGATTACAGGTTGTTACGGGGGGGCTACATCGGCAAACATCTCATGGCAAGCTTCGCAGTTGCAGGACATCACTATTGCGGATATAGCACATCAAATTGGAATGACAGACCACACAAGATGGGCACATGCGGCACAACAAGGTAAGAAAATTTGAACCACAAAAATAGCACTGCATTTGTTTTTGTGGGAATAGCATGTGAGGAAAAGAAGATTTGTAACGGTGGTGGTGAAAAAAAACAGAAAACGCTAACAAGTCATCGTGTGCAATGAGTCATGTATTGTCATCGGGATTTGCCAGTTGCTAAAAGAGTGTGTGTAACACTAATGATTGATCACATTTGCCTAGTGAGCTCAAGTCTAGAATTCAAAGTTTCGATGCTAGAATATGCTGGTTGCCATGTATTGGCAGCAGTAACTGCCATGTATGTAGGACTGCAGCTGCCATGGATATAGAATCCAAATTTTGGTACTGAAAGAAGCTGGTTGCCATGCATTGGCAACAGTAGTTGCCATGTTTGTTGGACTGTAGCTGCCACGACCGGAGAACTACATTTGCCATGCATGTCCACATGCAGACTCACAGCTTGCTGTGTGAATGATGTCATGCCAAATTACATGCAGTTGATGTACTCCCTTACGATAAACATGTCATTCAAGCAAAATCTTACGCTCATACCTATTTTTTTTATTACAAGACCTTCAACTACAGTCAACAGCGGCGCAGGGACATCTACTGCCGGGAGCTCTGAGTGCACGGAAGACGCGTTCCACTAGCCAGACAACAATCATGCCACAAATAATGTCGAGTCAGTGTCGGAAGTGGCAATCATTCCAGCAATGCCGACAAGCACACCTTTGAACACAAGCACTGACAACACTCAAATAGATGAAACTACCACCGATACTGAAGTGAATGATGAAACTGATGACGAAGCACAAGGGGATGAAGATGGTGGGCAATTAGAAATCATGGTACCTCAGCCACCGTACATTGGGCAGAGATTTGATTCGTTCGCAAAAGCAAAGGAATTCTACCAGACATATGCAAAGTTCCATGGGTTTGCGGTCAACACCGAATACCATAGGAAAATTAAAAAAACTAACGAGTACGTCAGAGGTGAGATGAGGTGCTACAAGGCACGAAGGAACAAGAAGGGTAAAGGTGTTGCGCCTTTCATTTCGGAATGAAAGAGAGGTATCATTCTCAAGACGGAATGCCCTGTCCGGTGTAAGCTAAATGTAGATGGAGCACGGTGGGTGGTCACTGAAATTTTTGAAGAGCACAACCACGAACTCATAAAGAAGTTCGACTTGGTAAAATTTCTGACCGCCCACAGAGGATTCACCCCCCTCAAGAAGAAATTCATAAAGCCGCTACATGATTGTAACGCTGGTCCATCAAGAATGGTCCAGATACTATCACTCATCCACAGCAAAAATGGGACTCTGAGTAGCATGCCCTACATACCAGCTGACGTCACAAACCTAAAGGCAAAGTACCGTAGAGAGAGCAAGTTGGCTGACATAGAGGCCACTATGGCCTACTTCGATGAGAAAGTGAAGGAAGATCCAGATTTATTCTATAGGATAAGATTGGACAATGTGGACCGTGTCAGGAACATGTATTGGGTGGATAGTGCTGCAAGAAGAGCCTACAAACATTTCCGAGATTGTATTTCATTCGAAGTGACATATCTCACTAATATGTACAAGATGCCATGCGCTCCATTCATAGGAATAAATAACCACAATCAGTCCTTGTAGTTTGGATGCGGGCTTGTTCGGAACAAAGACACGAATGGCTACACTTGGCTGTTCAAGACCTTCTTGGAGTGCATGGATGGACTTGCTCTGATGAATATAATAACAGACCAGGATTTTAGCATGCGTGGAGGCATAGAGGAGGTCTTTCCGTTGGCAGTGCACAGGCACTGTAGGTGGCACATTATAAAGAAGGTTGAGGAGACACTAGGACCGTTCTTTGCTGACCGTCCAGAGCTGCAGAAGGCATTCGAGCTGTGCGTGGACCACAGCTTGACGGTGGAGGAGTTTGAAAGGAGCTGGATGGCCATGATTGAAACATATCAAGTCCAAGACAATGAGACGCTTGCTAACCTGTGGGAGAAGCGAATGTACTGGGTGCCGGCCTACTTCATGCAGTGCTTCTTCCCGTTTCTACAGACTACGCAGCGCAGCGAGGGGTTCAATGCTGTTTTGAAGCGGTATGTGAGCCCTGGCAACTCATTGCTACAGTTTGCCAAGCAATACACATCTTTGCAACAAAAAATACTGGGATCTGAGCTACAGCAAGAAGCGAACACCGCTAAAGCAACCGAAATTGCTAACGTATTTACCAATGGAGAGGCAGATGAGCAAGATATACACCAACAAGATCTTTAACAAGTAAGTTAATTGTGTTACAATCTTATTTGCACAAGCATGAAGGTAGTAGGTGCCATCTAGAATGCAATGCAGTTGAAAAGCTTATTTCAAAATGATGATTTCTTGAAAAGTAGTCATTGAGTACAGAGTAACCATGATATGTAGTTGCCATGTTTACTCAACTGCAGTTTGTCATGTTTACTCAACCGCAGTTGCCATGTTTACTTAACTGCAGTTGCCATGTTTAATGAAATGCAGTTGCCATGTTTAATGAAACGCAGTTGCCATGTTTAATGCACTGTACTTCCATTGGGCATGTTGGTATGGAAATGCCAATGCCAATTAAAGATGTTATGCAGTTGCCATGTTTAATGAAATGCAGTTGCCATGTTTAATGAACTGCAGTTGCCATGTTTAATGAACAACAGTTGCCGTGTTTAATGAACTGTAGTTGCAATGTTTAATGTACTGTATTTTGCCA